TGCTTCTCCCTCTCCCACTCCCCCTGCTTGTGTTCCCTCTCGCTGTGTCTCTCTCTGTCAAATAAATAAATAAAATCTTTAAAAAAAAAAAAAAACTTTTAAAATTCTAGTGACTAGAGAAGCTATCTGTAATGTATAAACAAACATCTACATTTTAAAATACTTTTATAATAAAGGTAACTAAATAGTGTTCTTCATGCACAGCCTCGTGTGTCCTGCCAGGATTTTATCTCCAAGGAAATTTCAGGTGTTCGATGTGGTTGTTGAATTTCTAAAGTTTAAAATAGTGGAAGCTAAAAAGGAATTCTAGAGTGGTTTTCATTTTTCTCCTTTTATTTTATGTTTTTAAAGATTTATTTATTTTTATTTGAGAGAAAGAGAGAGCCAGCTGGGAGAGGGGCAGAGGAAGAGGGAGAAAATATTCAGCAGACTTCCCACTGAGCAAGAAGCCCAACTCAGGGCTGGTCCCCCAAACCTGAGATCATGACCTGAGCCGAAATCAAGAGTCAGATGCTTAACTGACTGTGCCACCCAGGGGCCCCCATTTTTCTCCTTTTAGTTTACTTGATGTCTTTTAATTTAAGATGATAAAGTATTAATGAACCATGCTTATTGATTTGTGAAAATTGACACAATCCCTAATAGAACCACAGCAAAAATTCTAAGCAAAAATTTTAACAATGAGACTCAATGTAGATCATGTTCAGAGTAGAATTTAGTTTTAGGAAACATAAAAAGCTTTTACCTAACAGCAATAGCTAAGATAACCATATATTTCTGTAGTCTGAGAAATTCTAATTTTGTGGAAGAGAGCCCTACATAATATAAAATATAATGCATATCAGAAGAAGAAAATGTCCTGAATATATAACCAACCCTCTTTTTAGACCTTAAGTTCAGGAGGTTGAAAACACAGCCCTAGTTATTGAAAGATGCATCCTTAGATAGGGACTGGCTACCCACTGGATCCCTTCCAGAAATCAAACTAATTTGTAAGACTCAGGATTGGCTATATAATTTGTGGGGCCCCATGTTTAAAAATTATTTAAGAACACCAAGATGGCCGGGTGCCTGGCTGGCTCAGTTGGAAGAGCACATGACTCTTGATCTCAGGGTCGTGAGTTCGAGTTCCACGTTGGGTGTAGAGATTACTTAAATACAACTCAAAAAATATATATATATATCAAGATGGCGGCAGACAGCTTGAGTATTAAGTGAATCACAGGGCCCTCTGCAGGTGTATACGTCGCATACCCATGAAGCTGACCCTGGCTCTTTGCCCATAGCTCAGAAGAGGATTGCAGTCACTAATGCAAATCCAGAGGCGAGATTACTGCTGCCCCAAAGCACTGAGAGTTTCCGATTCACGGATGTACTAATATTTCCAATCAGGAGTCCACATGTATTTGGTAATCAGTACACTAAATTTACTAAGAAGGGGCACCTGGCTAGCTCAGTCAGAAGAGCATGTGACTCTTGACCCCAGGATCATGAGTAGAACCCCACGTTGGGTGTGGAGAGTACTAAAAAAATAAAAATAAATAAACTTAATAAAAATAAAAATAAATTTACTCCCATGAATAAAAAAGAAGTTACTCCCATGAATACTTTTTCTTTTGCTGAAGAGTTAGCCACATTATGTATGAGGGGCCTGGGTACCTGAGCGACCTGTTTTTTCAGGCATTCATTGAACCACCACTTACTGAGCTGAGCACCCGTGCATGACAAGACATTGTCAGCTCTGACCCTACGCCTGTGAAGGATGGAGGGTCCCTGCCTCGCTGAGCCTTCTAGCCTAGGGCCTAGAGGAGGGGGTGGAGATAAATGAGCACATAGTCCCACAGGCTGTCCCAGTCATCAGTGGGACTCCAGAAGAGCCCAAGATCCAGAGAGCATTTAATCTGAGGGGAGGAGATTACTCAGGGTAGGTCTCCCTAGAAAGTGGTATTTAAAATAAGGCCTGAAAAATGAATAGAAAGTAGTCGGGTGAATTAGGGGCCTGAGTTCCATGTTAGAAGGGTTGAGACCAAGGCCAGGAATATAGCTTTGGGGTGAGGCCTCTCAGGTCATTTTCAGGACTTTGGACTTAGACGGAAAGGTAATGGGAACCTTTTGAAGGACCTTAAATGGTAGATGAGATGAGCGACTAAGTTTGGGTTTTTGAAAAGATCATCATCACTGCTGTGTGGAGAATGGTTTGCAGGGTTAGGCTGGGCTGGTATGTGTGAAGTCTTTGTACAGACTAGGTAAGATGCACTACTTTGTCCCAGCTGGGCCAGACCAAAGGCCTCAGGCACTCAGCCTGTCGCTTTGCACACATACTCTGCAGAGGGGCAGGATGCGGTATGGGCAGAGTGCAAAGGTTTTTGCTATCACCAGGGCATGGTGCAGTGATGCTGAGTAGAAGCCAGAGGCAGAGGGGTTGGGGGGAGGAGGGAAAGGGAGAGAGGGTGAGTCTGTAGCTAAAGTCAACATGAAAGTGGTGATTATTTGGATGTGGTTGATGGACAGGGCGATATGGAGGATGTTGTGAAAGTTTCTGGCATAAATAACTGAGTGGGATGGGGTGGTGAGGCCATTTATGGTGTTAACGAACCCTGGGGTCGGGGAGGGAAGGTGATCCATTGGGATAGGTTTTGCTTGGGAGACACCCAAGTGAAGACCAAGGAATTGGCATCTGGAACTCTTGAAAGTGGTGAGGTGGAAGGAAGTCCATGTTGGGAGCTGTTGCATGTAAATAATCATCACATAACCAAAAGATCATCTGAGGAGGGGTGTGGGGTGAGAAGAGAAGGGGGCTGGCCTGGAGAAAAAGACCACTGTGTTTGGAAGAGGAAGAGCAGCTGGTTCAGGCAAATGAGAAACC